GCAAGAATGAGGTCAGAATTTCCTAAATGTCCCATATTCTTCTTATGGGTCTACTGAGTGTTCCAGAAGATTGTTTACAGAACAAATCTAAAGTTCATTTCATCTAGCCAGAAGACACTTTGTGGGGCTGAAATGATGGCTCAGCGGCTAATGCACACACAGCTTACACAGGACTGGAGTTCAGTTCCCAGTACCTGTACCTCAAAACTCATACCAACCATGTGTAACAGCTCCGGGAAGATCTGGGGTGGCCTCAGTCACCTGCTCTCATGTGCACGTACCACCTCCCCGACATACACATCATTTAAAAATTAAGTGTCTAAAAGCTAAATAAAGAAAAAATGTAATGAAAGATTTTCAAGGGTTGATGCGAGAGTCTAGCGGGCAAAGGCTCCCGTCACCACAGCCTAGCAGGCAAAGGTTCTTGTCACTAACCTGAGTAAGACTAAAATTCAACCGCTGGCATCCACATGGTGGAAAGAAAATAGACTCAGAAAGGTTATCCTTTGACCTCCTCATGCGCACTGTGGTACACATACACACACACAATAAAATGTAAGTTAAAGGTCTTTTTAAAATGTTCTAAGGCAGAGAAGGCTGTGGTGATAGGCAGTTTCAAAGCCGAGCCCAAGGAAGGCTGTCAATAGCCAAACCAGCAGTGGAACTCCCCAGAACAGGGGTCCAAAGGGTAAGTGAGACAAAGGAGTCAAGTGAGAGATACTCTGCCACTCAGCAAATATCTCAGGAAGGTGGGAGCCCCTCCACCGAGACCACCCCATGTTATTCCCGTGTGTATTCCCAAGCAGCAGCAGCAGCACATGGGAGAGAGCCTGGCAGGGAGGTGAGGATGAGGTACCAAAAGAGAAACAGGCATCTCTGGGTTTAAAACAAAATCATAGCAAGTGCGAAACATTAAAAAAAAAGAAAGTCTCTGAATTGATGAGCGCGCGTGTGCGCACGCGCACACACACACAATACGGCTTACTAACCACTCCCATTTAGCATACAATTTTGGTACCAAAGAAGAAGGCGGCAAGAATGTGGTCTATATTTAAAGTTCAGTCTCTTTCAGAGAGAAACCGCCAGTCAAAAGTTGGCCCCTCTTTAACTTTTTGGTTTTTTACAATTTTTTATTTCTATTTTACGTACATTGGTATTTTGCCTGCATGTATCTCTGTGTGAGGGTGTCAGATCTTGGAGTTACAGATGGTTGTTAGCTGCCATGTGGGTGCTGGGAATTGAACCCAGGTCCTCTGGAAGAGCAGTCAGTGCTCTTAATCACTGAGCCATCTCTCCAGTCCAGCTACTCTTTACCTTTATTTCCCATACCTAAGCAGAGCCATGGTTCAGGGGCCAATGTCTGACTTCAGTTAGTACCCTCCAAGGCAGACTGTCCACCACAGTGTGGCAGCCACACAGCTCTGATGACAAGGAGCAAAAGCAAGTGTGAGAATATTAAATATGTCCGACTTCTTACACCAGGCGTAGTGAGAAAAAAAAAACAAAGAAACAAAACCAAACCAAAAAGCAACCCGCCCTTAAAGGCTGGAACACTACAGGCCACACTACAAAGCCCACCGCAAAGAAACGGATGCCAGAGCCAAGAGAGGACAATAAAGTTTCACGTCCTGTTTGCAGGAGGAAATGGAAGCTGGAAGCAGCAGGTCCCCAGGGACCCTTTGAGCCTGAAAGGTCTGTTTTCCCTCCTGGTAAACACGCCCAGTCTCCTGTTGATCCCCAAGCTCCCTCCAGACTTTTGCTCCCAAATGTTTTTCTTTCAAACCACAAAGTCAGGCTTTCCTGTTGGCTCCTGGAGGCTTTAGGAAGGATGTGAGGAGGGAGGGGGCCTTAGGGACCCCCTGGTGACACTCTCAGATGTTAGGTCCCCTTTCCAAGGGCCAGAAGGGCTGGTCAGACCCTTAGCTGAGATTCCTCTGGCTGACAATTGTTTACAGTTGGCAGGTTTTTTTTCTTTAATAGTTCATAAGGACAAATAACCACAGAATTACTAGTGAGACCAACTGAGGACAGCCTAAAACGTCTGCTAGTTGGCTATCCATGCCACATGGATAGCAGAGGAGTCCTGGCTGGCTTCCTTACTGGCATGAAGCTTCATTGGCACAATGTTCTAAAGGGCAACGGAGAGGCAAACTGCAAGGGCATCGTGATCCCATTTTTGGCTTTAAAATAGACTTCCCTCATCCCCCACCCTGCAAATCTTTCCTAGGACCACGTTTGGACCCTGACTTGAAGAAGCCACTTGTAAAAATGCTATCTTCACAACAAAGGATATTTGACTACACACTGGGAAATGGATAAAGCCAAGACTCTGGCTTTCGGAATGCATCTTCCAAAACGTGTACGTGGCTGTGGCCAGAGAGAGAGGCTTGTTGCTGACCCTGACTACAGTTTGTTCTACAGGACCCACGTGGCCACGTGAGAACCACTCACCGAGCTGCCCTCTGACTGCCACTCTTAACACGGTGGCATGTGCTTGCTCTCACACACAGCAGACATGTTGTAATTTAACGTGGCAAGATGATGTTACACGAGGATGTAATCATTCTTTTTATTTTTTTAATTTGAGGCAGGGTTTCTCTGAGTAGCCCTGACTGTCGCGGAACTCACTCTGTAGACTAGGCTGAGACTCCCCTGCCTCTGCCCCCTGAGTGCTGGGAATAAGGGTGTGTGCCACCACTGCCTGGCTTCTATATTTTTAACTAACTTTTTTAGGTTAGCAGTAATAATCGGGTTTCGTGCATGGCATTTTCATGCACATGCAACTATCCATCCTTTGCTCTCACTTGTTACCCTTCCCCAATGTCCATGACTCTGGTTTTTATATTCATTTACTATGTATTAGTTTTTGCGTGCCTGCATGTATGTATGTGTATGCCATGTGTGTGCCTTCTACCCTTAGAGTTCTGATCTGGCCCAGTGTGGGTTTTGTTTCTATTTTGGGGACAATATTTCACATAGTCCAATTCCTGATCCTCCTACCTCAACCTCTCAAGTGTTGGGAGGACAGGCATGTACCATTACCCCTGGTGGATGAGGGAGACGGATTTTACTCTTCTTTTACGCATGTTCAAGTTTTTTTCAGAATAACGAAGTCTTGATTCTACAGGAAGCAAGTGCTCAGCTAAATCCCTGCTAGCATTTCTACATCACCCCAGTGGCCAGGCTCCTTCTCTGCAAAACCTCACGTTCCCCAAACAGGCAGCATGAAGTCTGAGATCCTGCTGGCATCAAACCCACCTCCACTGCTTTCAGAACGAATCCCAGAGGTTCCCTCTTAGCTAGCCCAGCTCAGCTTGCTGGACCAGGCCTCCATGGGAGCCTATGCATGGGGTTGGCTTGTTGCCTGTGCAGCTGAGAAACCAGAGCCCAGGCAGCGGAGAAAGGCCAGCAACACTGAGAAGTACAGATAATGGAAATCCCTGAGGGTTTCATCTCTCCCATCCAAAGAGCCTGAAGTTATGACAGTCTGGGACTCACTTCGTATCCTCAGTAACCAGCAACGCATCCACATCACTAGAAAACAGCGCCTGTTTGGTCAGTTGTATCATTTGTGATACAGCTCTTGACAGATTCATTTTTTTTTTTCTATCTTCAAACCATCTTTCAAACTGAAACTAACCCTGGATGGCTATGTTGCTATCGTCTACCCTTCCATCCCCCCATGCCCCACACCCAGATCCTGGAGAAAACTGGGAGAAAACTGCTGTCGTGTGGAGCAGTGAGTTGGATAAAGAAGAAACGAGGTGCTATCCTTCAGAACAGCGGTTCTCAACCTGTGGGCCACAATTCCTTTGGCAAACCTCTATCTCCAAAACTATTTACATTATGATTCAGAACAGTAGCAAAATTACAGCTATGAAGTAGCAACGAAAATCATTTTATGGTTGGGGGTCACCACGTCATGAGGAGCTGCATTAAAGGGTCGCAGCCTTAGCAGGGTTGAGAACCACCGCTATAGTCCAAACAGTCTCCGCCCCTCCTTGTTCATCACTGCTAAGCTGACAGTGGTTGGGCAAAATATATACAATCCAAGCCACAGTCTTTCTAAAAAAAAAGGGGGGGGGTGTAAGGCTAGCACAGCTGACTAGTTCATGTGTTACAAAAGAGAAAGGCGAACAAGTCTTAGGAGGGATTGGGTATCACTGCCATGTGAGGGACTCAGAGCTCAAGGGGCTTTATCCTCCCCAGTGTCTGGCCCAGGACAGTTCTCCACATGGCCTGCTGAAGAGAGAGATACACTAGCCCAGCAGGAAGCAGCTGGAAAGTCCCCGGGGCTTTGCAACACTGGGCGGAGCCATGAACAAAACATGCTGCAAAGTCTTGCTCTCGTGTTCCCGTGGGGAGACCAAAGAAGTGAGCACTCTGGAAGGAGCAGAACTGATGGGGCTAGAGAGCTGCAATTTTAGTGCAAACCATTTTAAATGTTCATCTGTGTTGTGTGTGCATTTGGGCACACCCAGGAAGTGACAGTCAGAGGTCAGCTCTCGGGACCCAGTTTCCTCTTTCCAGCATGTGGATTGGGGACCTAACTTAGGTTGTCAGGTTTACTGACTCTTACTGGCCCAAGGCAGCTTTTATATATTGCAGAAGCTCTCTAAAGGGACATCCGAACACAAACTTAAGGAACTAGAGAACATGCCGCGCAGAAACATCCGCATAAGTCTTGCTTTAGGCCTTGGGGATGTTGGCACGAAGGCCCTGAAGCAGTGGTCTACACCGGAGAAAGGCTGGTGTGTATTGGTACAAATGAAAAGGCTTCTCTCGCTCCCTCTTTTTTTTTTTTTCTTGTTTTTTTGAGACAGAGTTTCTCTGTGTAACAGCTCTAGTTGTCCTGGAACTAGCTCTGTAGACCAGGCTGGCCTTGAACTCACAGAGATCCGCTTGCCTCTGCCTCCCGAGTGCTGGTATTAAAGGCCTGTACCACCACCACCCAGTGCTTCTCTTTTCCTTTTTGATTAAAATCAAGCAGACACCACCACTCAGAAATTGAAAAAATGTATTAAAGTATTCACAGAAGTACAAATGAAAATATCAAAAAGTAACAATGGACTTGATACTTCTCCCTAGCTGGATACATTTCCATTGAGAAAACAGACAGGAATTTTAATCTGTAATCTTTTATGTGTCCCTTCACAATTTGCAGGTAAGTTTTAGGATGCCTCTTCCTTCAAGTCAGGGGACACAGGAAGGGCAGGTCTGCTATCTGGACATGACCTCACTGTTATCTGCAGCCAGGCCCCAGCATGCAGAGTTGCAGGAAGTACACACTCCAGAGGAAGAGGTGTGGGGTGTAAGGCCGTGGGGTCTCAGCATGGTCCTGCAAGCAGCTGGAACCAGGCTGCCAACTCAACCCAGGATGCTGGCAGTGAACTGTTCCAGCCTAGGGAAGAAGGTTGGCTTGGGCCCACCGAGGATTTGGTACTGACTGGGCAGAGAGGTCATGGAACCAGATTAGGAGGCCCTTAAGAGGTGTCATTTGGACAAAGGCCACAGAGCATCAGTATCAGATACATCATCTCAGCATAGCAAGGAGACGGTAAAGCACCTATTAGGAGATGTCTGGAATGTGCAGTTCCTTCACAGACTTGCTGGGAAGAAGAAAAGAGAATGCTGCCCCCTCCCCTGAAGTCTTTCCCATGCTAACGTCCTCCTGGGCTCTGCAATCTGTACCCTTTTAACCACGAATACCCTCAGTCAGCTGTGCTATTCACACAGGGACAGAAGCTTATTAGCGAGACCTTAGCATCCACTGAAGGATGGTGAGGACAATCTCAAGCTGAAAATGCCCTCATATTTTAGAATAGCACCAACAAAATACTCTTACTGTCCTCAGTGGCATGGCTAATGGATGGTGCGTGCCAGCTAGCACAAACAAACAGTTCTGATACTGTGAGAGACTCCCATCCCTGAACACCTCATTCTCTAACTACAAGAAATGCTAAGACTGGTTGAGCCCTTAGGTGAAAAGGCCACGTCTGTTGGGGACACTAACAGTTCTGCGAACTCTCCAATAAGGCAAACCTTATCACTGGATGATAGGGATGCTTCTGAAACTATCCAATAGGAACAACTCTGAAAGGATACACAGAGACAGCAAGACAATTTTCACTTACGTAGACGCAAACCATTTCTTCATCATGCAACACTTGGCCTCTCACATCAGGAAGATTAAATAGAATATACATATCCTTTATATACATTTTCTTTTCTCTCTGAGTATACATGTGCTTGTCCTTGCTCGAGTCCTCAAGACCACACGTGGTTATGGGCATCTTCTGCACAAGAGTCCAGTTTGGATTTGTTTCTTGCTTAAGGTATGTTTGGGGTCTTCTCTTAGTCTTTCCGGATGTCCGCATACACCACAGACTCCGACTTATTAATCTTGCCGCTGTGATGTCCACCAGAGTGGTCTAACTGCGCGTATATGACTGGGCCCTGGAGAAGAGAAGTCAAATTAGAGGTTTGGAAAAACTGATGGTCCCTGTGTTCCAGGAACAGAAGCAATCATTAAAGCATACTCTAGGCTTTCAAAGCAGGGACTCCTCCCCTTTGAAGAGTCAAGGTTTCTTATATGTTTGGGAATGACCTTAAAACCAGAGTAGACATCCCCTGAAGCCACCAAAGCTGGTACATGAAAATTAGCTGTTATTCCCTTTGGTTTTATGTATACTTAGGCATGTCTATGAAAATATTGCATTCTTTCTTGGCAATGTCCCTTATTTTACCAGATGCCAAAGCACTTGGCAGCCTTTGCAACTGGGACTGGGCAAAAGGACCAGACCGGGCCCTTGACCCACCCAAGGGCCACTGAGGTCTGGAGTTTCAGAATCACCCTGGTAGAAAATGTCATCCATATAATTTGTTCTGGTCCCTTTACACATATAAATCCTCAAACACTTTAAATATTCAATATAAATACAATATAATCCTTTCAGTCTGACTCTACCATCACTGATTAAAGGCTTGCTGCTCTGTGCACTGCATCCCCGCTTCTCTTTGGTGTTAAGGACCGGTCCTCAGGTCTTGGGCAGGCTGGGGATGCCCTCCACCACCGAACTGCATTGCCAGACCGCCTCTCTGAGGTCCAATACCAGTTAACTGTCTTTCTAAGTTAATTTTTTTTAATTCAAAATCTAAGAAATGTAAAGAAAAACTCAAGTACAAGTCCTCTCCTTGACCCTCAGCATTGAGGAAGCCAACGAAGTCCAAGATGGTCATCAGAGTCCAATTCAGGAACACAAGAGAGGTTGGGCTTCTGGGAGCCGAGGCGAAGCCTGACTCTTGGGGGATAAAGTCTGTGTGCAGAGGCTGATGATTCAACTGTCAGAGGGTGGTTTATATTTTTTCCAATTCCTTTTAAACCTGTAGAATTGTAAATAAAAATAACAGAACAGCTCTGGTTTAAAAAAAAATTCAGTATGGCCCTAAGTCAGGCCGTACTTGTCTCTTGATCCAGGGCACTTTGAGAAGTCTGATGGTGTCTTTCCGTTTTCTACTGTAACAAAACAGCAAGCGTAGGAGCCAAATCCTCGGCAGCTAGGAGGCCAACCTGTGCCCTCCAGTGTGTAGGCTGAGATCCTGCAGAGGTCAGCAGTCTGAGTACCACAAAGAAAGGTCCAGGGGCAGAGCTGTGCATGGCTGTGGAATGCTAGCTCCGAAGCAGTAAGGCCAGTCAGCTGCGAGACCTATCTGAACTCTGGTAGAGGCACACTCAGAATTCACGAGGCACTCTCTATGCAGACTGGCAGATGGCCACGTGGTGGCAACGGGCATACTTTGAATAAGCTCTAACGATGAGGCCTTTGGGCCTTGTGATGAGACGGAAATGGTACCGGTGAATAACCTGGCAGCGCTGGACAGTGCATGCTGTCGGACGCCAGCTGTGACCGCCAGCACGTCACACAAGTATACTTTACAACAGTCTGAGGTAACTGATCCAGCAGGCCGAAAGCAGGGCGCCCGCCTGACTGATCTGCAGAGTTGGCAGTTTTAAGAACTTCTCTTTGGAGTGGTGGTGTTACACAGCGTGTGAGCAGAAAACTATGAGAAGAAAAACACAGACTCCTCTGCACCAGCCAGCAAATGTTAAAATTCCAGTAAGTATCCCATGGCAGACAATATTGTGTTTCACGTTGAGACTGCCTGAAAAGGCAATGAAACTGAGGCTGGACTGGCCACTGAAGAACAGACCGTTGCCTACCAACGCCTGACTGGTCCTTCCCTTCCTCCCCTTCGAGAACAACAGGGATAAAGTCAGGGTCTTTGTTACTCAGCCACCTAGAACTTTGAGACTATGGAGGAGCCAGGCCAGATGAAGGGAGCATAATGCAAGGCAGAGATCCATGGGGCATGGCCGAGGTCAGGAATCAGCTCCACCTAGAACAGGTCTCGGAAGCCTGGTTTTGGACTAGTTAGAAGATGGTGGTCACTGGGGTCTCTCTCTGAGGAGCATGCCTCAGGACCTTGATTTTGACAATGAGCCTGCTTTGGACTTCAGGAGACTCCAGGGAAATAAGATTGAGAAGTGAGCTCACTACTTCTAGGAGAGCCACATGAGGATAAGGCAGAAGGAAAAGAGCAGCGACGGGACCCACAGTAGCCAAGAGGCTTCGCTATACAATTCAGCGTTCAGCCTCTAACTCCGACCCCTGCCCTCCCCCCCCAGCTACTACAAATCAACGAAGTGAAAATTTTGTTTGGCTATCACCCCAGTAATTTACTTCACAAACAGGCCTTTAAAATGTTTCAAGTCAGCTGCAGTGGTGCTCACCTTTGATCCCAGCACTTGGGAAGCAGAGGCAGGGGGATTTCTGTGAGTTCAGGGCCACAGAGGGATCTTGCTTCAAAAAAACAAAACACAGTTTAAAAGAAGCACACTGCTTGAGGTGGTCTATTCTTTCAGCTGAACTCGTTCAACGAGAGATGTGATCAGCTCTCAGTTCTACCTCTATCAAATTTAATTTCATACTAGAACACACTGCTGAAGGTGGAAGAAAGTCCAAAAAGAAGGTCCTTCTAGAAGTCTCTGCCTGGTGGCGACTCTGCTTGACAGTCCTTACAAATGTCCCACAGTACATTTTGCAGAGACTATGCAATGTTGGATAATTTGACTCTTGTCTCTCAGGCATAAAATGACTCACTTTTTTTCTTTTTTGAGACCAGGGAGGGTCTCACTCTTGTAGCCTTTGCTGACCTGGAACTCAGAGACTCAGAGGTGTCTACTCCACAACCTGAAGACTCACCTGCAACCCCTTAGTGCTCCCGGAGGGGGAACACCTGCCTTCACCACGCGTTCACCAACTGGCAGCCAAACACTATTTCTAGGATTTACTTCACTGTGTCTTAAAAGGCAAACACAAGCGAAACGCTGTGTGTTTTGACTCTAAGACAAACGAGATCAGTTCTGATTATCAAGAGAGTTGAGAAGAATTGGTCAAGCAGGGAAGAATTTGCTGTGTCTTAGAACCAGACAATCAAGGTCCAGAGGCCAGCTCTGCCAGAACCGCTTCAACCCATAGAAGCCTTCAGAGCAACACAGAGGCGATAAGATACATCGTGCAGAACCACTGTGAAGACTAAATGGGAAGCTGCATGGGATCTTGAAACTTCCCAGGGACAAATATATAAATATTCCATCAAATTGCCGCTTTCCAGATACTTGTCTTCTGCATACCAAGTATTGACTCTTTCCAGAAAATGACCAAGAAAACCAGCTCCTCAAATAGTCACACAAACCAGCTTAAACCAGTTGTGGTAAAATTTAAGCCTGATAAAGGGAAATTTCTTGCTCATCTTTCCTCCTGTGCTACAGTGCCCCCAGCTCTAGGCAGTCTTTCATTTTATATTTTTAATTGATTTTATTGAGCTCTACATTTTTCTCTGCTCCCCTCCTTTGCTCTCCTCTCCCCTTCTACCCTTTCCCATGGTCCCCATGCTCCCAGTTTACTCAGGATATCTTGTCTTTTCCTATTTCCCATGTAGATTAAATCCATGTATGTCTCTTTTAGGGTCCTCATTGTTGTCTAGGTTCTCTGGGATTGTGATTTGTAGGCTGGTTTTCTTTGCTTTATGTCTAAAAGCCACTTATGAGTGAGTACATGTGATATTTGTCTTTCTGAGTCTGGGTTACTTCATTCAATATGATGTTTTTTAGATCCATTCTTTAGCCAGCAAATTTCAAGATGTCGTTATTTTTTTCTGCTGTGTAGTACTCCATTGTGTAAATGTACCACATTTTCCTTATCTATTCTTCAGTCAAGGGACATTCAGGTTGTTTCCAGGTTCTGGCTATGACAAACAATGCTGCTATAAACATAGTTGAGCACATGTTCTTGTGGTATGATTGAGCATCCTTTGGGTATATACCCAAAAGTGGTATTGCTGGGTCTTGAGGTAAGTTGTTTCCTAATTTTCTGAGAAATTGCCATACTGATATCCAAAAGGGCTGTACCAGTTTGCATTCCCATTACCCCATATCCTCTCCAGCATAAGTTGTCATCAGTGTTTTTGATCTTGGCCATTCTTACAGGTGTAAGATGGAATCTCAGAGTTGTTTTGATTTGCATTTCTCTGATGGCTAAGGATGTTGAGCATTTCCTTAAGTGTCTTTCAGCCATTTTAGATTTCTCTGTTGAGAGTTCTCTGTTTAGATCTGTACCCCATTTTTTATTGGATTATTTGTTCTTTTGATGACAAATTTCTTGAGTTCTTTGTATATTTTGGAGATCAGCCCTGTGTCCAATGTTGGGTTGGTGAGGATCTTTTTCCATTCTGTAGGCTGCCGTTTTGTCTTGTTGACCATGTCCTTTGCTTTACAGAAGCTTTTCAGCTTCAGGAGGTCCCATTTATTGTTTCTCTCAGTGTCTGTGCTACTGGGGTTTTATTTAGGAAGTGGTCTCCTGTGCCAATGCACTCAATTGTACTTCCCACTTTCTCTTCTATGAGGTTCAGTGTGGTTGACTTTATATTGAGGTCATCGATCCATTTGGACTTGAGTTTTGTGCATGGCAATAGATATGGATCTTTTTCATTCTTCTACAAGTTAATATCCAGTTATGCCAGCATCATTTGTTGAATATGCTTTCCTTTTTCTATTTTATACTTTTTTGCTTCTTTGTCAAAAATCAGGTGTTCGTAGGTGTGTGGATTAATATCTGGGTCTTCAATTCGGTTCCTCCTGTTTTTATGCCAATAGCAGGCTGTGTTCAGTACTGTAACTCTGTAGTAGAGTTTGAAGTTAGGGACTGTGATGCCTCCAGAAGTTCCTTCCTTTAGTGTACAAGATTGTTTTAACTATCCTGGGTTTTTTTTTTTTTCCTCTTCCATATGAAGTTGAGTACTGTTCTTTCTAGGTCTGTGAAGAATTTTGCTGGGATTTTGCACTGAATTGGTAGATTGCTTTTGGTAAGATTGCCATTTTTACTATGTTAATTCTACCTACCCAAGAACATGGGAAAATCTTCCCATTTTCTGGTGTCTTCTTCAATTTCTTTCTTCAAAGATTTAAAGTTCTTGTCATACAGGTCTTCCACTTGTTTGGTTAGAGTTACTCTGAGATATTTTATGCTATTTGTGGCTATTTGGAAGGATGATGTTTCAGTCAGAGCCTTCCTAACTCTACTCCCAAACCCACCCTGCCTCCTGCTATGCTGGCGGAAGCTTCCTGTGCCTCTGCAAGTCACCATCATCTTTCTGAGGCAAAGGACTTCATTCGGGTCCCTAGGGTGAACCAAGATGTTATTTCAGTCCATCACAGTTACTGACCCTTGCAGGTGACTAGAAGTGACCTGCTCTTAGCCTAAGGGGCTAGGAAAAGAAGTCTGTTGGGGCTTCTGGCAAATGTCTCATTCATAATAAAAAGACTGCACACGAGGAGACCCAGAGTTTCTTCCTTTTACCGATTTTTTACATGATGGCAAAAGCAAGGCAGCCATCATTTGAGGCTGAGAAAAAAGGGCTGCAAAAGAAGAGAGTTTGAAGCTAGTCATAGCGGTGGTCCTTTGTAACCCTAGCATTTAGTAGGCTGAGATAGGAGAACTGTTTAAAGTTCAAGGCCAGGCTGGGCTACATATGACAAGACCCTGTCTCCAAAAAACAGACCTGAAAAAAGAAACTATGCAGAGGATTGTAGTGATATTTCATTTGTACTTTAATAAATAAAGCTTTCCTGAAGTTCAGAGAGTAAAACAGCTACACTGATCAGCCTTATAGGCCATGGCGACACACACCTCTAATCTCAGTAGCCACAATAGTTGTCATAGGAACAGGGTGGTCGTGGTGCACACCTTTAATCCCAGCACTAGAGAGGATTATAAAACAGGAGGAGACAGCTCTCACACACAGTCTCATTCTGAGATTCCTGGAGGCAGGATCGCCATTTCGGACTGAGGTAGAGGTAAGAGCCAGTGGCTTTTCTGCTTTTCTGACCTTCAGGTTGAACCCCAGTTTCTGTCTCTGGGTTTTTATTAATCGTGCTACAGAGGATAAGTAGGGAGGGCACTTGAACTTCATCGCCAGCGATAATGCTGCGGCCCTGGATGAACACTGAAGGAACACAAAGTACCCTCAGATACTGAGGCGCTCCTGGGACTCCCCAGAGCAGCCAGCCTGGGAGGGCGGCACAGCAGGCACATTATCTGAAGGTAGTGCTGAGGTAAGCAAAAGCATCCATTAAGACTACTAGTGTCTGAGGATTGTGGGAACTGAGGATTATCTGAAGTAGATTTTGAACCCTAGCAAAGAAGCCTCTGATATGACCTAGCATGACCATGGAAACAATAAAACAAAACAAACCTACCCAATAAATTTGAAAATCATATGATTCATTACATAGTATTGTCATAGTATTACAAATTCCACAGGCAGGCAACACATACACACACACACACACACACACACACTGCCACTGAGGTCCCTGACCCCCTCCAACTTTTAACTGGAGTATTCTGAATATTTATAATCAGTGTAATTAATATAACTGAGTTTACTAAGTCCCTTTTCATTCTCAGTTTTGCTTCCTGTGATTTCAGTCATAGTCAAAGACATCCCTCCCTCCCCGAGAAAAAAAAATTAAAGGGAAACTTCTGGTTGTATTTGTTTTCGGCACACTTCATTTTGGATAGAATCTATTGCTAATCTTTGTTGTTGGGTCCCCCCTGCATTTTCATCAGTCCCACTCTGTAACTCAGGCTGGCCTCAAACCTGTGATCAGTCTGTCTCTAACCTGTCTGTCTGTCCGGTCTGTGAGCAGCACCCAGCGTCTTCGTTCCCCACTCTGCCTGTCCGACCTGTCTTCCTTTCCTCATTACACGCAAAGTTCTAGCTCCTTGTTTGCTTGTAAGAAAACATCTTTACCGTAATTCTTTTTCTTTTAATTTTTCTTTTAGTTTTTTTGAGACAGGATTTCTCTGTAGCTTTGGAGCCTGTCCTGGAACTAGTTCTTGGCTGGCTTCGAACTTACAGAGATCCACCTGCCTCTGCCTCCAGATTGCTGGAATTAAAGACATGCACCACCACCGCCCAGTTTACCATCCTTATTTAAGAATCCCATTATCTCCATCGTTTCTGGGTCCATATTTTAAAGGGTTTATTGTTTTATGTGTATGAACGTTTGCTTTCATATATGTATGTGTACCATGTGTGTGCCTGGTACCCAAGGAAGGCAGAAGGGGGTGTCAGATCCCCTAAAATTGGAGTTATAGAGCTACTCTGTGGGTGCTAGGAATCAAACCTAGGTCCTTTGCAAATGCAGCAAGCATTCTTCACTGCTGAGCCATCTCTCCAGCTCCCAGACCCTAGTGGACAGTTGGTTTCCACTGATTTCTTTTAGTTACCTGCCTTCCTCCTCCCCCCCATCTCTGGAACGCTCATGAATTTGCATGTCATCCTTGTACAGGAGCTACGCTAATCTTCTCTGTATCAGTTTTAGTAGATGTGCTGCTGCAGTGAGCACAGGTTACCTGCTTCCTATATGCCTAGCTTCCCTTAGCCTCTTTGAGGCACGATTTCTATGTAGCCCAGCTTGGTCTTTAGGCAATCTTCATGTCTCGGCCTCCCAAGTACTGGTATTACAAGTATGCTACCACACCTGGCCATATGCCTAGTCATTTTTGATTGATACCAAACATCATAAATTTTACACTATTGGGTCCCAGATTGCTGGGTGCTGTTGGAGTCTGTTGTGGCATACAGCTCAGTTATTTCTGGACTAGTTGGCATCTCTATAGGCTTTTTTTCAATTCTGTAGAACGGGGGTCCAGAGTACCCTTTATTTGGGTATTACTGTAAGCACCTGCAATGGCGCGCTACTCCGAGCACCAGTGCTAGCAGGTTTCTCCACAAACCATTCCCAGCTCCTAGTGAGCTCCAAGAACTATGGATTCTTTTCTTTACAGGAGGTTCTTTTCCAGGTCTCAGAAGCGTTCTACCACGTATGCACAAATCCAGCCAGCCAAAACTCGCAGGTCTACCTCCTCCATTCAGTGACACAGCTGAGCCCAGGGGTTTCTAATTCTCCTTGTATTAGTCTGTGGCATGCTGGTACAACCACAGGGCCTGCACTGTTCCTTTCTTTGAGAGGTTGCAGTGTTGCGTGACCTATTTTTTTGTTTTGTTTTGTTTTTGTTTTTGTTTTATTTGAGACAAGGTTTCTCTGTAGCTTTGGAGCCTGTCCTGGAACTAGCTCTTGTAGACCAGGGTGGCCTCAAACTCACAGAGATCCACATGCCTCTGCCTCCCCGAGTGTTGGTTGGGATTAAAGGCGTGTGCCACCACCGCCCAGCAACGTGACCTATCTTACAACATTTCGAAAAGCCATTGTTTTATTGTTTGAAACTAAGAGTTTGTTTTCAGCAGAAGAACGCTGGGCAGAACAGAACGTCCTCAAGGCTTCTTTAGCCATTAAATCTATTAGTAACTCTTCTGACTTTATTACAGCTCTGTTCCTCGTCAGGGCCCAAATCAGTAAACTGAGGCAATGGAAGGGGTGGAGGACAAAAACAGGTTATGAGCCTGGTGCCGCCGCCGTAGAACACTCGCTGTCCACGAGACTCGGTGTAAACCCCAATCCTGACTGCGTGCTATGCTTTAGAAAGTCAGCACAACACCTCAGTTTCCTGACTGGTGTAGGTTCCCTCACCACATGGAAACCCATGGAATAAGACCTCAAATATTATTTATTTATTATCCTTTTTACTGTTTGTGAAAATCGGTCCCTTTAGCAATCACCTCCTTAATGGTTCCTATTCCACACAGACCCCCCAAACCTCTGAAGTTTTGACAAAAACATGGTTACAGTTCAAAACGCAGTAAAAGCACAATATGCTGCAGGATGTTGGGTCCTGTGCTAAATTCCAAATGAAAGACTTTCTCTTCAGAACTTCCTACAGTAAGCAGGAACCAAACACTCTTCCTTATTCACCTGGCCTAAAAGTTACCCAGATAATAGTGTTTCTATGTGTTTGAATATTTTGCCTGAATACCTACACGTGCACCACATCTGTGCTTGGAGCCTGGGGGTCAGGAGAGGGCACTGGACTGCCTGCAGCTATAGTTAGAAATAATTGTGTGTCACCATGTGGGTTCTGGGAACTGAACTGCAAGAGCAGACAAGGGCTCCCAACTGTTGGAGCCATCTCTCCAGCCCCTCAATTTTCTTCCCTAAAGAAAATCAATTTTCTGTTTTATTATCAATACTAAGAATATCAACTTTTCCCTGAAAAAAAAAATTTTCTGGTACTCTGCATCATAAATCCTGACCACTATGGCTGGTCATGAAATAAATTTCTTGCTTTATTATTAACACTGAGAACACTAACTTCCCTGCTAATTCTGTGTGTGCACATGTGCCTGCATAAAAATGTGTGCATGCGCTAAAAACTACCTTGAATGTATGTGGTTTCTCAGGCGCCATCACTTGTCTTTGGATTCAGGGTCTCTCTCTCTCTCTCTCTCTCTCTCTCTCTCTCTCTCTCTCTCTGGGTACAGAGTCTTCCCTTCTCTTGTTTTTTTTTTTTGTTGTTGTTGTTGTTGTTTGGTTTTTTGGTTTTTTTTTCTACACAGCCCTGGCTGTCCTGGAACTCATTTTGTAGACCAGGCTGGCCTTGAACTCACAGAGATCCACCTGTTTCTGCTTCCCTGGAGCTGGAATTAAAGGCATGGGCCACTGTGCCCAGCGAGACACAGTCTTTCAATGGGACCTTGAACTTCAAATTAGGCTAGGCTAGCTGGTCAGGGAGCCCTAGGGGTCCATCGTCCCTACCTCTCCAGCACTGTGACTTTAAGTGCTTGCCACCCCACCCAGCTGCCTCTCCTCCTTTATATGGGTTCTGCAGACTGAACCCAGGTCCTCTTCCAAGAACTCTACTGAATGAAGTATTGCCCCAGTTCTTCCCTGTTAAATTCTTACAGAGTACTTTAGAATACAGTTTACTAGATTTTATTTTCTTGGGCAACTGAAGACTATAATAGCTGACAAAGCCACTTGCTCTTAGGCCAAAGGAGACACCTTTTCATAAATATTAGCGGTGGTTTGGTGAGAAACTTCCCTAAGATCAGTTCTTTGCTATATACATATATATATATGTACATATATGTATATATACGTATATGTACATATATATATATATATGTATTCATTCCTGGGGTCTTCTCAGACCAGCCCTTTCATTCTTCCATCTTCCTCCCTTTCTCTGCATGTCTGCTACAGTGAGGATATCACAGTATTCTCCTTCATACCCAAGAAGCTAGAGCGTTCCAAACCTTAGGGCAGAGTGCCATCAGCTGTTACCTGGTGAGATCCGGCGGAAGGCGGACTCTTTACTAGGCCCTCTGTGTCGGAGGGGTACTTCCGTGGAGCCTGCTTAACTGGTGACAAACGCTCTGATGTACTGCAGCTGATGAGGTGACGATTTGAAGAACAAATGTGAAAACAAAAATTCACAATAAATGGAAACAAAAGTACAGAGATGCAAGGGACGGCACAACAAAGCAACAGACGCACAACAGAAAACAACAGGAAACAAAACAGTGGGGCCCCAGACCATCAACAGCTTCAAACCATCCTCACTGTCCAACTCTGGCATTCTTCTAAGGCAGCCAGCTGTGGCCGAGGGCGGCCAGTAGCAACACCATTTCCTGTCTGGGTGCTATGCTGTCTTTCCTCCTACCATCCACCCCGTTCAGGATAAATGTTTAAAGGGGCAAGTTCTACTTGCTTAATGCCTCATCTGGATGAATCTCAAAACTCCCAGGGCGACATCCAGATCCATGGCTCCCAGTTCCCCACATTTTGTTTCCCATCAACATCACAATCAAACAAAACCAAAAAACACAAAAGCTTCCAAACACAAACGGCCAGGAAGTCATGACCCATGAGAAACTCTGGGATGCCACATGGAATGTCACATGGACTGAACTCTGAGAGAAACATTGGGGCATCTTTACAAAATGCTACCTCAGGAATGAGTCAGGGACACTGAACAGGAAGCAGGTCATTAGGGCTGACAAAATAACCTAAGAAGTAAGGAGTCTGGAGAAGATCGCATTTAAAGTGTCATTACTAAGACCAAAGTATCCTGGGCACTTTGCAAACTGCCCTCTCTGGAATGGGAGGCTACATGCCCTGAGCAAACTGTTCAATTATTCTAACACAAAGAAGGTCTTAAATCATCGACAATAAAATTCATGTGTGGAAATCACACACATGTATTTTACATGAAGGGCACACACGCATACACGCTGAGATTAACTTAACTTCATCTGGATGTTTTATATTTTCATTATGGTCAAACGACATACCTGTGAACAAACCATAATAGCTGTTGGGTTAGCACCAAGCTGCTGGTTAGTGTCTACAAGGGGAACGGGCTGAACATGTACACGTTACACATAATGGGCAATGTGCTCAGTTACATGTGTCTAGGGGAGCAGAAGAGGAGACGCAGTCTTGTTACTGTGCCAACATGTCTTCTATGTCAACTGTTTTTTTAAGAAGGGAAGATAAGCAGGACCTGGTCCCAGCATACCAAGGAAGAAAAGCAGAAAATGGTGGTGGTGGTGAGATGACCAAATTAAGAACAGCAGCAACCATGGTGCCATGCAGGACCGAAGAAACATCTTCCTGTCCACTTTATTAACCCCAAGCAAAAGAATATGATCTTGAAGCATTACTACCTTAGATTACTCTCATGTTGAGAACCATCAATCCTGCTGCATTTAATCACAAAACACACCCCATGCAAGGGAGCAAGAGACAGCAGAACAGACGCATTCCAAGCAAGTAATACCTGAATCAGAACAGCCAGGCTTGTTTAAACACAGCACTCCTAACAACTGGAGGTCAGCAGAGCCCACAGAGAGAGGCTCCCACCATCCGGGCATGCAGACCTCTCTAATCACAGTTTCTCTAGGATGGCGCAAGTTAGCTTGTGCGTGTGTGGTGCTGCCCGGGCTAGAGCAACTCGAATGCAGCCTTCATCCCCAGTCTGACCGCGTGAGTGCTATAGCTTATATGGGTTAGCTTTCCAGCTGGACTGGGGAAAAGAGAACGTCTTGCAGTTAGACCCAGCCCTACACTCAGGTGTCCCTTGTGTGACATCAAAACCACCTCTTCTTTCTTCCTGTTACGTTTTCGCATTAGCTCTTACTCTCCCACACTAGGTGCACACAACCAAGAAACAGCAAAGCGATGAAGCTGCTTGGGTCGTAGTGGGGTGGGAACGACAGCGGAAGAGAAGCCCTGCATCACACAGGGCCGGGAGGGTCAGGTACTGGCAGAGCATCTCCATAGAGCAAAAGGAAGGCCCTTGTAAGATCAATAGCAACACATTATGATTAAACTTTTTTTTTCCTCATTTCAATTTTTTCTTTTACAATTATTTGTGTGTGGGGAGTCTGAGGTTTGGGGGGGGGCGTGGACACACATGTATACATGCAAATGGAGGTCAGAGAACACTTGGGTCAGAGTTAGGTCCCTCCTGCTATATGGAGTTCAGAGATCAAATTCTGGCCATTCATCCTGGGGGCAACCATCTTTACTTGTTTAACAATCTTGCCAGGTCCTGGGGCTATTCTGAGACGAGGTCTCATGTAGCCCAGGCTGGCCTCAAATCCACTGTGTAGTCAAGTATGACCTTGAACTATTTCCCAAGTACTAGAATTACAGACATGTGCCACCATGCCTGGGAAAATTAAACCCTTAAGGTTGGGTAAGTGGTGTCTGTGGCTTAGGAATTCTAATTGCTGAGTGGAAGGTACTGAAACTCAGCGCCCGACTGCTACAGAGCAATTCACCTCCCCAAGCCTCAGAAGGAAACGACAGACCAGAGACCGGCATCTTCTTCCACAGCTAGCAGCAAGCCACTGCCACCTGCTTCCTCACGCCATAACACCAGGGACCGCCTGGGCCCAATGAAAGAGCAAACAGCAGAGAGTGCTCCACAGGGCCTTTCCCAGAGAGAAGTACGTTTTTATACAGCCTGATTTTTTCTTGCCAACCCATCGCTAACAGATCGCAGCTCTTACCCCGTGTAATTCCGCTTCGCGTGCTTCCTTCGGTAGAGGACCACGAGAACCAGGCTGATGAGCAGGGTGAGGCCAAGGACCACGGCAGTGACAGTGCCCACCACCACCCACACCAGGAACACCAGTAAATTGTCTAGAGGAGAGAACAGAGGGAGGTGAGGGAGGGAGCACAGAGAGAAGAAACGGAGTTTTGTTAATAAGCAGGAGTCTTCTTTATCCGTTACCATCTTACTTATCCTCCTCTATTAGCCAAACTACACAGAGTGGCATCTGAGGACGGCCCACAGATGGCATACCCACATGGCCTATCAGTTGAAAATGACCTAGAGAGCCAAGCATTTCTACGCCCACAATCCCTCCTCCCCACATTTTATTGTCAAATCTGGAGATACAGATTTACACCAGTCATGGCCAGCAGAAGGCTGTCTCAAGAAGAGACACTGGAACCTGCATCCCCTGCATATCCTCAAACAAGGGAAGAAATTTCTGTATTGCTCTAGAAGACACTAAAGTATCACCCTTCACAATATCAAACAGTCTCAATCTCCTTTTCCTACAGCCCACTTCATCCAGCCACAGTGAATTTGGTCGTTCTTGCTCTTAACACTAAACAACTAAAATGCCTGAAATCAGAGCCATGGGCTCCAGAGAGAGGTGTGGAAAGGGAAGCCACCTGCTGTGTTGATTGGGCAGCAGCTCCCCAACCATCAGCTCTGCTGGGCTAAGCCTCAGAGTCCAGAGACGGACGGCACAGCTGGAAGGCAAAAACCATACCTTCATGGGGATGTGGCTCAGCAGTAGAGCACTTGGCCAGCATTTATAAGGCCTGGGGTTTGATATCCAACACCATAAAAATAAATTCCGGGGGCTGGAGAGATGGATCAGCGGTTGCGAGCATGGGCTGTTCTTCCAGAGAACCTGGGTTCAATTCCCAGCACCCACACAAACTGTCTGTAGTTCCGGTTCCAAGGGATCCGACACCCTCATACAGACATTCAGGCATGTAAAACACCAATGCATATAAAAGAAATAAATAAATCATTTAAAAAAGATTCTTTAAAACAATTCCAAAAACATTTCCTTCCAAATGTATCTTGAAACACAGATCTTATTCTCCAGCTACAAGTGACCAAGAGACTACATCCCATCACGCCAACCACTGTGGGAAGTACCTATTTCCACCACATGGAGCCTAATGTGCCCAGGCCGGACAACGATATCAGGAGGGTTTTTGACATCACAGATATAGGTGCCGTTGTGAACAGACTGAATATTTTCAATATTGATGGATGCATCTTTCTTGTCAAGGTCCCCAGCCCAGGTGACTCGGTCTTTAAATGGTGGATAATCCCCAATGTACACTTGTCCTTGTGAGTAGTGGAAAAACTGCAACGAGAAAACAAGAGCCCATGAGCCAGCCACTCCCGGAGGCAGAATTCCCGTCGTCTGGACCAGCCATGCTGTGCCATTAGGGGACCCTTCTAAAAGCACTCCCACAGAGGGAGAGCAAGTCATGCGAGGGTTTGGCAAAGGGACTTCGCTCCCTCATCTTCCTGGCTTCCTCCACAGTATGGCACAATAAGAAGTCCTTGCCAAATGCCGGGGTCACTGGTCTTCAGCTTCCCAGACTCCGAATCTGTAAGAAATAAATCTGTGTTTCTTATAAATTACCCAGTTAGTCATTGCCACTTTCTCATAGCATAAAAACGGCCTTAGAAATCCATTGTTCATAAACCTTACAGTAATTTTTCCTTCTTCTAAGAGTCTGTCTCACAAACCCACCCCAGGCTTCCGCTTTCTCTTCAGTCCTTATCTGACCTCCTCGTCCCCCCCCTTGGAAACTCAGAAAACTGCAGTGACCTGCCGAAGGCCACAGGTAAGGAGGTGGAGCTCAGATCCAGCTCTGATTCAAAGTCTAGGTGATTTCTGCTATTCATCACCTCTCCTGCTTGGTGACATTTTGCCTGCCTGCCTGTCTTCCTTTCTCCCTCTGTCCCCTGCCCCCAGTAAGAAAATAAGCAATAAACTGTCAGCCTAGCAAGCGTTTTAAATAATCTAGTCTTCCCTTTCCAAACCATCTCCAAATACGCCCTAACCAGCAGAGATGACCAGCATTACGGAGGAGTAGAACGAACGGGTATTGTGTGCCAGTCTGGAGACAAGGAAGAGAGCGGCGCGTAGACCAGACTCAAGGAGAAGCAGCAAAGGCTGACATTCCTAAACTATCACAAGGGAAGTGGGCCTAGACGAAGGCAGGGCAATCCTGACAGAGTCCCACGGGAGCGCTTCAAAGAACGAGACTACTCTAGAAGAACACAGAAGGGAAGAAAAGTCAGCTCAATGCTAGACAGGTGGACCCCGACTTCAGGCACTAGGGAAGCCATGGCATGCTGGGTACGTTTCTCCTGTAAAAATCTAAAACAAGAAAACCTGCGAGTCAGAAATGCAGCATGGTAGCTGAAAGCCTTGTGCCATCTAAACCTTCACAAACCACAATGCCGGAACACTGTGAGAATAAACAGAACTGCTCCCTAAAAGGAAGTTTTTGCTAGCTGAGGTACATGCCTTTTTTTCCCCAGCACTCAATCAGGAGGCAGCGACAGGCAGATCTCTGTGAGTTTGAGGTCAGCCTGGACCACAGAGTGAGTTCTAGCACAACCAGGGCCACATAATAGAGAACCTGTCTAAAAAAAGAGAAAGAAAGGAAAGAAGGAAAGAATGAAGAAAGAAAAGGAAAGGAAAAAGAAAGTTCTTAACCTCAAGTTATCTTCCTGACAGCTGCTTTATTTTCTACAGATTGAATAATCCCGACATCCTAAAACTAAAGAGAAATTCTCAATTTTACGGAGTTCTTTTAGACTCTTTTAAATAAACGTGTGGTTTTTTTTTTAACCTATGGGAGTACTGGCAATATTCCTCACTGATGCTCTATGTATGGAAGCAGCTCCATGTACGTACCAACTCCCTAGACTTTTGTTAGGATTCCTCCTGCCACCCTCACAGCTACTGTAAGGTAGAAACCTTAGGGCAGGCATCCTACATGTTTTGTCTTACTTAAAAGCATGCCTACCTAGACCTAGTAAGGAAGTTAAATAAATGAACACGTTCTGTCCTTCCAGATATTATGCTTAGTTCCCTATTACTAAATCCTGAAGGACACAGACTCGCCCAAGAATTTGCTTCAACCTCGACTCAGTGCTTTTCCTCAGGGAGTACACAGCTTTTTGTCTGTCTGTCTGTTTGTTCTAGTTTTTTCGAGACAGGTTTTTTTGATTTTTTGTTGTTGTTGTTGTTGTTGTTATTTTTCTATAGCCCTGGCTGTTTTGGAACTCACTCTGTAGACCAGGTTGGCCTCAAACTAAGAAATCTGCCTGCCTCTGCCTCCCCAGGGCTGAAAGTAAAGGCGTGCCCCACCACCGCCCAGAAGGAATACACAGCTTTGATATCAAATTCTGACATAAAGCTACTTGGGTCAAAAAAAGGCTGTTTTGATTTCAGTGACTACAGTCATTTAGTACATGTTCCAGGTTTTCAAAACCAGGGGAGTCAGTGAGGGACTCCCATCTATCCACACCCAACAGGACGTTGCTGGGTTCCTTGAGGAGTGATGGAGAGGGTTAGGGTCCATTCTTCCTTCCGTCCCCACAACCCCCCCTCACAGAAGTAGGAGGATTAATGGCACAGGCATACAGTGAGCCAGCACCTGGACTTAGTAACCTATAAGCAGTAGGCTGCATTGGAACTCCACAGCGCTGACTCTGTCTTGGCAGCGAGAGAGCAGAATCTTGTTGCATCAGAACATGGCAGAGGGTATCATATGGGAAGATGGAAGAAGAGTTCTAGGGCGAGTCTCTCTGCTCCTGGAGTCACTAATGCATCGTGGGGACACTACTGTAATCACCACCTAGTCTCACCTACGAGGTGACTTCCAAACGGGCTTACAGGGCCAAACTTCCAACATCAACTTTTGGGAACACGTTCAAACTATAGCACTCAGTAGCCAGAGGAGAGGTGCTGTTCTGTTTGTGATTTTTTGTTGTTTGTTTTGAGACAGGGTCTCACTGTGGAACTCTGGCTGTTCTGGAATTTCCTTTGTAGACTTGCAGAGATAGTCCTGCTTCTGCCTCCCAAGTGCTGGGGTTAAAGGTGTGCGCCACCATGCCTGACTCCGGAGTTAGATACTGAGCAACAGATGAGACCCGTTTTCCCTTCCGGGAACAATACTAAAGCAGGTGCCAGTACTCACAGGACACACGATGGACCAACAGGACAACAGTGCAAAACTCTATGTTAGCACCTCGAGAGCTAGACACCATACTGAGAACTTCCCTCTTCTAAACACCTTCTGTGGGAGGTTGTATCAGCTCCATTTTACAGACATGAGTCAGAGCAGTTGGTCCACGTCTAGCAAGCACCTACTAGACAACTAGTTTCTAGCCAGTCACTGGTTTTCTGTGATAATTAATCTTAATTATTGATGGAATCTAGAAACACGGGGAAGATGGGTTTCTGAGCATGCCTGCGGAGATTATCCTGACTCAGTTAACTGATACGGGAAGATCTTCCCACGGTCATTGGCATCATTCCCTGGGCTGGGTTCCGGATAGTAGAGAAAGGAGGATGTGAGCTGTGCATGCACTTGTGGGTCTCTGCTTCCCTCTGGTCACTGGGATGACACCAGCGACTCGAAGCTGTCTTAACTTCTTTCTTCTATAACAGACTGTGCCCGTGAACTGTGAGCCAATTTAAAACCCTTTCTCCTTTAAGTTACCCCCGTCAGAGTATCTTATCACAGCAACAAGGACAGGAAAGAAAACAACACCCGTGCACTTTCTATCCAGCCTCTTAGCGCTTTCCTTCTGGTGTGGCCCTCATCACCCTGGCAACCACGTGCCGGGCTCACTTCTCACTGCAAAGATGCTTTCCCCACATCCTTTTAGTTCCAGTTTATGTACAAAAGCGTTTGGCCTGCATTCATGTCTGTGTACCATGTGTAGGCAGTGTCCTCAGAGGTCAGAAGAGGGACTCAGATCCCCTGAAACTGGAGTTGGGTCCTTGGGAAGAGCAGCAAGTGCTCTTAACTACTGAGCCATCTCTCCAGCTCCAAGAGCAAAGACACTTTTATGGAAGACCTTGCATACATGGCATGGCAAGGTCCCGGTAAATGCTGCAGAATCACACTACAGGTCAAATTAAAAAAAAAAATTCATCATTACATCAGAAAGGACTATCTATACCTCTGTGTGCGGAATATAGAGAGACAGAGAGACAGATACAGACATAGTAAAACAAATAGAAATAAAAAACGGGACACGTATAAGTGGAAAAGGTGTGGGGTAAAATGTAACTAGAGTCACATGGTCCAGCAAAGGCTCCCGTGTGGAAGTGAGCAATTCCAAATGGGATCTGATGGTCAGAAGGGATGGGGGGGGGGGGAGCGGCAAGAGAAATAAATAAAAAGATGAGGAAATAAGCTGCATTTAAGAGATGCTGAGCAAACTTTTTCCTGGAGCATTTTGACGCAAGAGAGGAAAGAGCCTTGAGATGTTTTGTTTCAGAACCAGATAGTAGGAGTGGATCACTGATCACATGACAGCAGTGCAGCAGTCGTGGGGGGAGAGGCAGAGGGGAGGGAGGGGTGCTCACCGACACTGCGCTGTCCGTGCCGTCTGGCTGGAAGCTCCAGGAGACCGTAGTCAGCCACCCAGTTGTGTTGGGAGAATCGAATGTGCACGTCAGCTTGCCTTGGGTCCCATTCACCACGAAGATTTCTTTGGGAGTGTGCACCTCCAGGGCTGATATCCTGGCTGTCACTGAAGAGAAAGGAACAAAATTTAAGAGCAGGATTTGGCAGAGATACCACTGTACGTATTTACCAAAGAAAGAGAGGTTACTGGATTTCAGAGAAGCTGCTTACTTACTGTCTGATTTTTGGATTTTTTTGTTTGTTTGTTTCTGTTTTTTAACAACTATTTGGGAGGCATTTTGTTTATTTGGAGACACAATGAGGCTGACCTTGAACTCAGAATCCTTCTACTCCGGCCTATTTACTATTGGGATTGCAGGGAATGATCAACAGCCTTGGTTCATTTGAGTTTTCATTAATTAAATATTTTTCACTAGTTTGGCTGGCCGTAGTCATTTTTTTTTTCCTTTTAATTAACTGATGAACCAGGTGTGGTGGCAAATGCCTTTAATCCCAGCACTCCAGAGGTGAAGGAGTCAGATCTCCGTGAGTTTGAGTACAGCCTGGTTTACACAGTGAGTTCCAGGTCAGCTAGGGACACGTAGACACCCTGCCTGGGGGGTGGGGGAGAATGGGGAGAGATTGAGGGGGTGTAGGTGGGAGGAGTTCCTTTTAGGGCTGGAGAGATGGCTCATCAGTTCAGAGGACTTGTTTCTCTTGAAGAGGGCCTAGGCCCGGTTCTCACCACCCACATGGTAGCTCACAACCATCTATTACTCCAGTTCCAGGGGATCCAATCTCCTGGACGTGGTGCACATACATGCATGCAGGCAAAACACTCATACATATAAAATAAAATTAAAAAATCTTGAAAAATAATTAACAGACAAAAACTCACAGTAAAAGCAGCTTTGTGTTTACAGAATCCTGAATGCAAAGTGTAGCGTTCCCACAAATCCCATTCCTCCTCCAGTCCCGTCTATTGCTAACATCTGGCATTAGTGTGGTACATTTGTCTCAATTATAAACAGACACTGCTACATTGCTGTTAACTACGGTCCCTAGTTTACACTCTGGTTGAGACTCTCTTTCTCTAAGTCCTATGGATTATAACAGTGAGTCTAACATTGTACATCCCTCATGAAGGTATCATATGGAATATTTCACTGTCCCAAGTTCCACTGCTGAAGCATGGCCTCCAGCTCCTGGTGACTACAGCTTTCGCTGTCTCCAAATTTCCGTCTTAGAATACTGTATAGTTGGAGTCACTGAGGGAGCCTTTTCAGAGTGACTTCTCGCCCTCAGCAATATTCTCCCAGGCTTCCTTGATGTCTTTCTAAGCCCCAGTTGTAGTAAATGTGATGGATATTACTGTCAGCATGATAGGACCTGGGAGACAAGCCTCAGGTGAGGTAGAATCCTGAAGTACTGTGGATGATACCGCTGCATGGGCTGAGACCCTGCACTGAATAGAAAGGAAAAGCAAACTAAACACTAGCATTTGCTACTTCTCTGATTCAGGGATGCGGACGCAATGTGACTGACCGTCTCCAGCTGCTGCCCTAACGTCCTCCCCAAGGCAGGCTGGACCCAAGAACTGTGAGACACCATAAACCCGGTCTCCTGTAAGTTGTTTTGATCGGGGTATCTCAACACAGCAACGGAAAAGTAACTAATCTGCAACGAGAAACACTGGCTGTTCTACAGTGTACCGTTCACCCATGGAAAGCCTTCTTAGGTAGCCAGGTGATGTGGCACACGCCCTGAATCCTAGCACTTGGGAGGTAGAGGCAAGCAGATTTCTGTGAGTTTGAGGTCAGCCTGGGTCAGCCTGTAATGGTGCAAGTTATAGAGTAACCGTGTCTTGAAAAACCAAAACCGACAAGCAACAAACTTTTTAAAAAGCCTTCTTGGGCTGGAGAGATGGCTCAGTGGTTAAGAGTGGCTGCTCTTCCAGAGGACTCAGGTTCAATTTCCAACACCCACATGGCAGCTCACAACTGCCTGTAGTTTTAGCTCCCTGGGAGCTGACACCCTTACACCAATGCATATGAAATAAAGTTAAAGTAAATTATTTAAAAAATAAATAAATAAATAAGCCTTCTTAAGGTTTCCTGGGGGGGGGTATTTTTAATAACATGAAGGTCTCATTCTTACTTTTTATATTCATCTGATATACAGCAATTATTATCACATTTTTACTCCATTTATATTTAAAGCATTAAACTAGCCTAAGACATACTTGTTAGTACTTAACTGATACTTTTCCCATAAAAGACTCAAGGCAGAAAAATATGTGTTTGGTTTTATGAGTGAAATCTTACCTCCCCTAAAAATTCCGTGCTGGGACACTGGTACTCTAGAAAGAGCTGACCAAACCACACAGGTTTGGGTTTGCATGTCACCCTCCAGGTCTGTTCAGTTAGCCTAAGTCCAGGGAAAGGTAATTAAAATGTGTCTGCCATTTGCAATTTTAAAATGCACCCCGCCTCCGTGTAAGATCTGTAATCAGAGGCCACTGTGGAACCAGACAGAGGCACAGCCTTGGTAAGTCAGTCTTCACTCAAAACAGAGGCACTTTCACAGGCTAAATGCATCTGCCCTGAGACTGTTAACTTAAAAATACCCGTCCGCAAAACAAGGTATCCTTAAAAGAAATAGTTTGGAATAAATACCCGCTGTGTTCAATTACTTAGGATGCAACAGACGAGTATTGTCACTGGGACTGACAGTCATTTTCTCCCAAGGCTTAATGTGGCTCTAGCCAAGGAGAAGAAGAGCACCCCCTCATTCCTCCCAACCATCTTGCAAATGTTTATTCTCAGAATATAATGGGCACTTTGGCTATTCTTTTAAATAAACTGATAGCCACACTGCATCAGGCAAATTTTTTTTCTACTCAAAGAGGGTGGATTATTATTATAGGGAACAATGGATTATTATTTGTGGTCCAAACCTCAAAATAAGCCTTTCTTTGAGACTAGAAGCAAACAAAAGGCGTGCCTTGCAATTGTGGGCAGTCAGAAAAGCAGCCCTGGGGGAGTTGGGTTCAGAACCAACCAAAGACAAAGCACAAGAGAGACCAGTTAACCAGCTCACGGCAGGAGGACTGTCTTGCCTGCCACTGTGACTGACTGTGGTTTCCACACGTTTGCTTCAGATGGTGAGAACCTGCAACTTCGGTCTCTAAAATCCATAGACAAAGTTTCCCAAGGATTTCTGTGAAGTCAGAGCCTTGCCTTGGGGCCCATCCGCAGAGGGCTCTTCCCTAAAGAAATGCATGATGAACTGGGGTAACCAGGTAAAGTCACACAGGCCAGAGACCCCGGCGCTGGAGCCTGAGGCAGGACAATGAGGAGGAGCCAGCCTGGCCTGTGCAGTGAGAGTCTATAAAAAAAAAAAAACAGGCAGCAGCAGAGTTTAGAGTCAAGAATTTTGAGGAAAAAAAAAACCCTAGTCAGCTATCTTACAGGTTTTTAGCAGTCTAGGTGAGACGGGTCTGATTTAATTACTTACAGTTGGTGACTAAAGTAAGGGGCCTTTCATGCCGAGACACCCTCTCACCAGTTAATTTGAACACACAACTCTTAGAGCCAGACTACGAACTCTAGCTCCAGACAGTTCCAGTGTCTAATTTCTACCCTTTTTTCCTCACGAAGAAACCCAATTCAGACTAACATTCCCACTCCTCCAATCAAAATGTTTTTGCTAAGGAATGCAATGGCCTCCTGGCAGCGTAGCCAAATGGTTAGTTTCTGAATCTTACCCGAGAGAGTTCAACCTTGCTCCTTTAAATTTCTTAGTCTGGCTCTGGGAGATTATTCTCCCTGGACTCTCTTGTGTGCTGCCTGTGTCTCTCCCCGGCACCCCACCTTCACAAGTTAAGGAGCCCCAAGATAATCCCTTTGACCCACATGCATTTAATGTTCCTTTTTGCGACCGCATCTCACATCAGGGCTGTTAAGCTTCTCCTAAAAGTGATGACTCTGGACACACAACTGACATTTGTCCCAAATTTGATATCTCCAAATCAAACTCCTAACTCCTGTCTACTGGCCTTCTCTTGGTGTAAATGACCCTTCCAGGCTTCCAGGGTCCTCCCGAGTCCTTTTCCTCTCATGCTCCAAAGCTGTCTAAAAGCCACGTGCCTCTCTGGGCTGCAGTGCTACCGTCCTGGTGTAAGTCACTTTCACTTTGATGACTTCAATGGCCTTCGAACTGGTGTCTTTGCTTTCATCCCCACTCACTTAGCTGCACGTGTTCCACAGAGAGGTCAGGAACCCAGGCAGGACTGCATCACTCCTCTGCTCGAGCCCCAGGACTCCCTACAGGGCCCAGAATCAAGCCAGGCCTCACACTGCTGGAAGCATTATTTCCCCATCATCTCACTCAAACAGTGGCAGCACCCACTCTTCTGAAGCAAGTGAGGAATGGATCCAAGTGTGGGGAGCACTGTGAAGGACAGGCCTGGGAGTGTCTCCGAGAGTCTGGAGGAGCAGAGACGAGATAAAGGGAAAATATTGTGTCAAATGCTCAGCGCAGCTTTCTCAGGAGAAGGCCGCAGGGGGAGAAAACTTGGCCTAAACCTGCACATGGCTTCTACACGAGAGTACCCAGCTTTTACCAAGCACACTGCAGCAGCTTCTCTTGCTTAAATCTGCATGTTTTCTTCCTTTCCTTTTATAAGTTAGAAATTCCTTAATTTTCTTTTATGCCTGGTACGACTTCTACAGGTATATTACAGGGCAATATACCTAGTGTAATGAAAAGCAAAAACTTCAGTAGATTACAGACCTCCAGAATATACATCTAATTGACACCACACTGCATTAATAAACAGCTGCGTGTTTTGCAAACTTTGCTATGACGGCCCTGAACAAGAAGGGTCTCCTGTTTAAGCTGCAGTGACGTTTATGACTGTGGACCATTGTTCCTTCTGCGGCTGATTTTATCTCTACAGTTCCTCTAATGTATTTGGGGCAACTGTCCCAAAGTAACCTGCAGCTTTCCTGACAATGCCTCGCTTTCTTCTGTAGCCACTTTGTTAAACTTCTGCTATCAGATCCATCACTATCCACAGCAGACCCACAGGCAGCACCATACAGACCATCTGGGCATCCTCCCTACAGACACCACCACACAGACTATCATCTGAGCGTCTTCCAACAATGCCCTTATCCACGAACCCATAACTTGATTGCCTTTGTCCACTACAGTCTCCAAAATCAGTACAGTTCCCACCACCGCCATAGTTCCCTCCACCACATTATCTACCACCTTGGTTTTCAGTTCCTGGTCCACCACCACCACCGCCTGCTCTACTACTGTATCCATGACCACTACCACAGCTGCCACCGTAACCTCCAAATCCATTATATCCACCATCACCACCTCCATAACTACCTGTCTGCTGCCACCACCTTCGCCACCATAGCCTCCTCTTCCACCAAAGTTTCCACTGTGACCAAAATTACCTCCAGGGTTTCCTATACAAGCAATCAAGTTGCCAGATCCACCTCCCCGACTTCTCTGTGATCCAGCAGACTGCATCTCTTGTGTCTAATGACACAGCGGCCTTCCTCACATCACAATTATGCCCATTGATAGACCTCCCTGCGATGCAGCAGACTGCATCTCTTGTTTAGAAATGACTCTTTTCACTTCACAATCATGCCCATTGGCAGCTGGCTTTCTGAACAACAATTCCATCAACTATGTCATGATCATCAAAAGCTACAAAAGCAAATCCCCTCTTTCTTCCCACTCTGCCTGCCTTCCAGAACGCGGATGGTTTCAAGCTGCTATACTTTTCAAAGGAACCGCTCAGATTATATTCTTCTGTATCTTCTTTAATACCAACAAGATTTTCTGCACTGTTAAATGGGCTCCAGGCTTTACAGATCCCTCCCTAAAAACGGCTCTTTGGTCCCACCACATGCCAATCAACCTTGTGTGGTCCAGCGCACATTACTGCAGCTACCTCTTCAACACAAGGGCAAGTCATACAACCAAAGCCCTGGCATGTTTGGTTAAGGGTCTCACATCACACAGTCTGTAAAAGCTCCTTATATCTCAGAATGTTCCTTTAAGCTGTCATCTGTAGTCTCAAAGCTCAGGCCACCGATAAATGGCTTCCACAACTGCTCTGGTTCCTTTGGATTGTGGTCCTCCATTTTGAGGCCAGACTCGCCTCTTCCAACTCAGATTCAATCTGCAGGTGGTTTCTATGCAATAATAGCAGCTAGAATCCAGCCAGCTTTTACCAAGCACACTGCAACAGTTTCTCTTGCTTAAACCTGCACATGGTTTCTATGACATGGCAGAATCTAGAATCCAGTGTGCTTTCAAACAAGCACGCTGCAATCCTTTCTGACCTTCCGAAACGAGCAGGGCTAGAGTTGTTAAAAATGTCCTCCTATGCGAGCAGAGAGAACAAGAAGGCAGGTTTCCCTCCAAGGCTCCATTCTGTGCAGCACAAGCAAAGGGAGCTCTCACTGGTGTCTGAAACAATTAGGAATGGCTTGCTTTGTCCTACCTGCCCCTCACCCTTTTAATTATTATAGTAGGAAAACATAGTTAAATTATTATGGATTCAGACAGCTCAGCTTCAGAGTCATAAAAGGGAGTTCTCAGGGTCTAATTACAACGTCTACACACGAAAATGAGAAGAACACCCAGACACTGAAAGGTCTGTGCTAAGTTACATTCCTGCCACCAAAGGCTGGAATCCCACTGTGAAAAAATAGCAAACAGATTCTTTTCAGATCAGAAAATTTATAAGCATGGTATAATAGCAAAAAAAAAAAAAAGTGGCTGTTATCTTAGATATATATACCACTGATGAACGGGTAATGAGATGCGGTACATATACACAACAGGATCTTATTCAGTTGTAAAGAACCTGAACTTATGACACATAAGAAAATGGGTAGAACTGGGAAATACACAAAGTAAGGTAACCCAAGCTCAGAAAGACAAACAGCACACATCCTCTCTTACATGCGGATCCTCGCTTCTAATTTTATGTGTGTGCATTTGGGTAAAGTGTGTACAGAACCCAAAAGACTCAAAAGGCCTATGAGAAAGGAAGAGTCTGTGAGAGGAGGAGATTCTAGGAGAGGAAGAACATCAGGACAGATGTGCTATAAAACAAAGCTGAAGAGGGGGAGAGACTAGACAGAGACAGGAGAGGAGAGGGTGGTGGGAAAGGCCAACCCAAAATAATGAAATCTAAAAAAAATCCACGTGGAAATCTGGCTAGACAGTTTAGAGTGTAAAAGTGCTGGCTGTACGTGCCCGCTAGCCCAAGTTTGAGACCTAGAGCCTACGGTAGGAGAGAACGGACACCTGGGCATTGACCTCTGACCCCCACTGCATGCTATGGCACGCACACTATCCTACTCCAACTTCCATTCTGTGTGCATGCACACACATGTAAATAAAACTAAAATTAAAAACATAAGAGTGAAAAAAAATATGGAAAGGAAAATACAGTGTGTGTTGGTTTTCCGTAAACGATACATAAACTGGTGTCATCTCGGAACAAACCTCAACTAAGGAAATGCTTTTACTAAGTTGGCCGAGAGGCAGGTCTGTGGGACATCTTCTTGACTAATGATTAACTGTAGGCAGATGGTCCCAGGAGGTAAAAGAAGGGAGCTGAATTAGAACCTTGAGACTAAGTCGGTAATCAGAGTTCCTCCATGGCTTCTGCTTCAGTTCCTGCCTTGAGTCCCTACGCAGACTTCCCTTCACAGTGGACTGTTCTGGCCATAGTATTTATTACGGCAATGGGAGAAAAAAAAAATCAAAACAAAGAACCTGGACATAATGTATTAAACTTTGGGCCCCAAAACTCATTTTAAAAGAAAGAAAGGAAGGAAGGAAGGAAGGAAGGAAGGAAGGAAGGAAGGAAAGAAGGAAGGAAGGAAGGAGAGAGAGAGAGAGAGAGAGAGAGAAAGTTTTTGCCTGTTGACGTCAGGGAAAACTACTGCCTAGAAACAAAATACAAATGAAATGAACGAATAAAAAGATGAAGTGATTATCAAACGTTGCCACACTTGACTTCTGAGGCTCACAACACTCACATAAATTCACACACAGCCATGCAGTTGCCGTTTCCCCACTTGGTTCAACAAGGAGTAGAAAACCTTGCTGAGTTATGCCAAGAGCTTAAAGGTCAAGAAAACAAACAAATAACCCCAAAAGTACCCTTCAGCTATGGTGCCCTAGAGAATAGCGCTTCTAAAACAGAGCACTGCCTTGCCCAAACTTCTCTTTCAGCGGTGAAGGGACGCAGACATGGAGATTGATTCAGGAGAAAGACACCTAGAACACACCTGGCAGACAGAAACGTCCGAGCAAGGTCAAGGCCCTAAGGAGCAAACGATGCCCACACTTGCTGTGTTCGCACTTTCGATGGGAGGCCAGAACACTTAGAAAAGAACACAAGGAAAAGACAGAGTATGAAGCAACCAAGAAACAATGCATCTGTTTCCGCTGTCTGGTCTCGCAGTCGGTCAGGCTGACTCTGACCTGGCAATCCACCTAGCTGAGTCTACAGGCGTGGCCAAGAAAGCAGATCCAAACACGGTTTGTCCAAGAGGTCCTTTCCTGACATGGCCTGTTTTAATAGTCTGAATTACTAAAGTCACATGAAGTCAGGGAGGCTTCCAACTACACATGCCCCGGTGACCTTATCATTCCAAATAAATTCAAACTCACAAACTTGCTGGAAACATACTGGACAGACAGCACAGTAGTGAATAAACAGACTCTCCCCCAGGCTAGGTAGACAGCGATCCTGAAACTGCCACGGGTTGAAGCAATCCTCGGCCATCTACAGCAGACAGCTTTGTTCAAACCTTAATAATTTCAAAAGAGGCTGTTAAGGTTTCCCTTGACGTTGAAAGAAGGCGTTTGCTTTGATTTTGGTTTTCTTTCTTTCTTTCTTTCTTTCTTCCTTTCTAAGAGCTCTGAAGTCGTCAGTATGTTCTCTTGTGTGTAAGAGCACAATCAATCCATTTATTTAGAAAGTGCTCTCTGGCCTATCATTTGTTGATTCTGTCGGTACATGGGGATGGGCTAATATCATCTCCCACAACAAGCACTCATGTGACCCTTTAACAGAAAGGAACAAAACACAACACTAAACAAGATTATTCAGGGTAGTGGATACTGCTGGGCCAGGGAGGGGGCACTGGAGCAAGGCACATGGTGGCACCGGAGTACTGCCTGGGCTTGCGTTAAATATCTACCCCGCCTACCCCGCCGTGCTCTTTCTGTCGGTTCCTCTCACACATTTTATTTTTCAGATTAAAAACTGAGGGAAAGACATTAGTAAGGACAGGGAAGATGTCTTTTTATTTGTTTTTTGTTTGTTTGTTTGTTTGTTCAAGACAGGGTTCTTTTGTGCAACCCTGCCTGTCCTGAAATTAGGTCTGTGCGCCAGGATGAGCTCGAACTCAAGAGATCCGTCTGCCTCTGCCTTCCGAGTGCTGGGATTGAAGGTGTACGCCACCACTAGTCAGCAGTGCCTACTGTGCCTGCACGATCCAGCCGGATAGAAACAGGGCCACCTTGGTCATGCGTGTCAGCGAAGGTACAGAGTGCCTAAGGAGGAGAGTAAGTGCAGAGCTGCTTGGTTGCTGTCGGTGGCCAGGGGCCACTCTGCAGCTCAAGTGGGTTCCTTTCTTCCCTCAGTCAGGGTTGCTATTCTGGAGCCCTCTTAGCTGAATGACACAAAGAAAGTGAGGGGCGGCTACGAAAATATCCTCCATTCAGTGAGTCCGAAATACTCAACAAGAGAACTCTTCACTAGACGGGAACACGCTCCTCTGCACTCTGAGACTCTGCTTCAGGCCTGACTTCCTTCCGTCACCCTGGCGCTCCCGCTCCCTTGACATCCTGTGCTTCCCTTGGCACTTCT